CGCTGTCGAACTCTGATCATATCAGTAACCTGTCCTTTAGATAAGGGATCGTATAGTCCTCCGTTCTAGTTATCATGCGGACAATTACATGGAACATAGTCATACTTATTGTCAAACAGTTTTTTTCTCGATCTCTGATTTGTCTGACATAGAACTTAATTGAACACATCAATTCAGTCCTGACCGGGCCTAGCACATAAGTCAAACCAAATCATCGAAGGGCCCAAATATCTCTTTTACCCTCTCAGGATAAAAGGAACAGATAAAATTTGACTTATATGCATTTACCATTCACTCATCAAATCATACACAACAATGCGTTTTATAACATCAAGTTACTGATGCGTTTACGCATTATCAATGCACAATCAAAAAGCAAACAATAAACCATATATCTAGGTTTTAAGACCATATGATATTATCATCTTGCGATCACTCGAGATAAATTCCATTAAGTGATGCGAGCAAGCGCGGGTTTAATCTAATGCTCAAATCAAATTCATAAGCACTCATAAACATTGCAGCAAACCTTTGCTATGTCTAATACACTTCACACAATCTACAAACCAATTCATGACAATCTTCTTTCATACCTACTCCCAAAGTATGAGCGACTGTGGAACGTTCGAATAATCTTATTATTCAGGAAGTCAAAACATGCAAAGTGAAACAATAGGTAAATAATTCACATAAGACAATAAATTTACTTATAAATAATACTCATTTATTTAATCATCAAATGTCAATTACATTTATCTATTACACATTTCGAAACTATCTAATCTGAACTAATATCGTCCTTCAGCCCGATGCTCCTAGCATGCTGCAAGTGCTTAACCCTATTCAGTCCCTTCATAAGGGGATCTGCTAGGTTATCCTCCGACGATACCCTCTTCACTACGAGGAGTCCCTCTTCCACCCGATGTCGAATAAAATGATATTTTCTGTCGATATGTCGAGATCTGTCATGATCCCTCAATTCCTTGGTCAACGCAACCGCTCCTTCATTATCACATAAAATTTCCATAGGCTCCTTTATGGCTGGCACAACTCCAAGGTCTCCAATGAAGTTCTTCAACCATATCGCCTCCTTTGACGCTTCACTCACTGTTATATACTCTGATTCGCATGTTGAATCAGCTATAGTCTCCTGCTTGGAACTTTTCCAAGTCACTACTCCTCCATTTATGGTAAAGACCCAACCTCACTGTGAACGGTAGTTGTCCCTATCGGTTTGAAAACTAGCATCACTATACCCTCTCACCCTTAAGTCATCATTCCTACCGAGGACTAGAAACCATTCCTTGGTCCTCCGAAGGTACTTAAGAATATTCTTGACTGCGGTCCAATGTTCTTTGACAGGGTTCCCTTGATATCTGTTGACCATGCTCAAAGCGAAGGCCACATCAGGGCGAGTACAAGTCATAACATACATAATCGAGCCAAATGTGGAAGCTTATGGTACTTGGCTCATCTCTGCTATCTCGACTTCGGTACTCGGGCTTTGAGTCTTACTCAACTTGGCATTACTTTGGATTGGTAACTCCCCTTCTTAGAATTCTCCAAATTAAAATGCTTTAGTAACTTGTCTAAGTAAGTATTCTGACTAAGTCCTATTAGTCTTTTACTTCTGTTTCCCACTATCCTTATTCCCAAAATATAGGCAGCCTCTCCGAGATCCTTCATAGCGAAGCACTTCCCAAGCCAGGACTTGACTTCCTGCAGCGTTAGGATGTCGTTTCCTATGAGTAGTATGTCATCGACATACAATACGAGGAAGCTAACTATAATCCCACTCGATTTGACATATACACATGATTCATCCTCGCTTCGCAAAAAACCAAACTCTCTGACTTTCTCATCGAAACAAAGATTCCATCTGCGAGATGCTTGTTTCGGTCCATAAATGGACTTCTCAAGCTTACACACTCTATTAGTGTGCTTTGCATCAACAAAACCCTCTGGATGAGCCATGTAAACATCCTCAGCCAACTTCCTATTAAGGAAAGCGGTTTTGACATACATCTGCCATATCTCATAGTCATGAAATGCAGCAATGGCTAGCATGACCCTAATAGACTTTATCTTCGCAACTGGTGCGAAGCTTTCATTATAGTCAACTCCAGGAGTTTGAGTGAAACCCCTCGCAACCAATCGTGCCTTATAGGTGTGTACATTCCCATCCATTTCGGTCTTCTTCTTGAAGATCCACTTGCACCCGACCGTCTTTCAACCTGGCACATTGTCAACCAAGTTCCATACTTGGTTGTCATACATGGACTGAATCTCGTTGTCCATTGTCTCTTTCCACTTTGCAGACTCCGGGCCTGCCATGGCTTCCTTATAGCTGTTAGGTTCATCCAGATTCACTAGTGTACTATCACTAATGAACGTATCCCCTTCTTTAGTAATACGACAACCATAAAACTTGGGTTGGGATAGTTTCATGCATTGCACTATCCATTTGGATTGTTTCTTCATAAAAATATATTTGTAAATGTATCAAGTTTTGCATACTTATTTATTGTTCATAATCGTTTCCAAGTGTTTTGCGACTCGTATGAGTATTATTTGATCTATATGATTGTGTTTGGATTTTGATATTTAAGAAGCTTTTACTTGAGATACATTTACCTAATATTGTTTATTCACTTGTGAAGTTTATATAAGATTTGTCATAAATGATAATGTACTTTGACTGATGTAATCTTTTACCCCAAGCTAACTTTTGATGTTGATTTTGTTGCTTTGAGAAGGTACGGGTTTGTCATTGGTGTATGAACCATATTGTTCATTCATAATGTTTAACCCTGTGATCGTACTCAGTAGGCTCCCCATGGGTTAAAACCTATTGTTGATAAGTTTTTGCAGGTTAGTAGATATTGTCAGAAACTTAGGAGACTTATATAGAAGACCTTTGGGTTGTAATGTCTTCTTAAACCTTGGTTTTGATATATGTTGCGACACTCTCGCAAGAAATGTTTGTTTTTATTAAAACACTAAAGGGAAATCTCCAATAAAGTTCTAATATTTTACGCCAGTTGCTAAAACTTCGGAATGGCCCGCCGTGGCCGGTTTCGCAGATTTAGCTGGTATTCCGGCTTTTTTCGTTATTTCGTCAAAATATTAGGACTTCTTCGTTAATTTGGGTAAAACTTCATAATAAACCTTTTATCAATATATTAAAAATGCTTTTTTTTCAATGCATGTATTTTTTTCATTTCTTTTTGTACAACGTTATATATTCAGTTTTAAAGTCACAAAATATAGAAAAAAGATATGTATACAGTCCAAAAAAACTAACAAACTTTATAAATTTGTCTAAAAACCTTTACCGAAGATAGAGTGCTCCATGATTGCAAGATGAAATTCATACAAAATTATTGTATATTTTCTTTTGATTGCAACATTGATCTAAGCACTGTGATAACCACAAAAACATACGTAATAATACTAATTAGGTATACTTAAATCTATGCGATAACCTTTCTCGTTAATACTCATTTTCTTCTTCATTATATTGCTTGTTTAAAACCTTAATCTATCTGCCCTCTTTCTTCCTCTGTTTCTTTCTATCTATTGCAGAATTAGGAAGGATGCGATAAGGGATACATACACACACCCCTCATATAGATCTTTGTCTTTCCTTTTTATGTGCACACACAAGCATAAAACGTTTTAGATTTGGAACGTGTGTGTGCGTGTGTGAAATGAGGGTATTAAAGTTCAAACGAATCTATGTTTTGTGGTCTAGCCAAGACAAGGCTAGCTGCTACCAAGATGTTGCTACTATCATTGGCATATTAAGATACAAGTTTAATATGAGCGTGTTGAAATGCATGATTCAACAGAAAATGAGTATTAACGAGAAAGGCTGTCCCATAGATTTAAGTATATCTGATTAATATTATTACATATGTTTTGTGGTTATCCTAATACTTAGACTAATCTTGAAATCAAAAGAGAATATACTATATTTTTTGTATGAATTTCATTTTGCAATCATGGAACACTATATATTCCAGTAAAGCTTTTCAGATAAATTTATGAAGTTTGTTAGTATTTTGCATTGTATCAATAATTTTTCTAAATTTCGTGACTTTAAAACTGACTATATAACATTATATAAAAAGAAATAAAAAAATACACTCATTGAAAAACAAACCATTTTTAATATATTAATAAAATGGTTATTTTAAAGTTTTAGCTGAATTAACGAAAAAGTTCCAATATTTTGACGAACTAACGAAAAAAACCGAAATACTGGCTAAATCTGCGAAACCATCCACAGAAAGTTATTTCAAAGTTTTAGCCAGGATTCTATCATTTTTTGTAAACAAAATTTAATTTTGAATTAAACCGTAAACTAGCCTAAAATATTGGGATTTTATTGAAGATTTCCCAAACAATAAATGTTTAAAAAATGTTATTTGGAACCATTATCCGCGTATCAACTCTGTAAAACATTTAATCTAAACTTTGATGACGTTTTCCTCAAACTAAACACTTAAAATTAATTATTTTTTTTAATTAAAGACTATTTCAAATAGGACAATTAAAGCACCAGGTTTACATCAAAACCTTGCCCGGATCTTAGTAATAGATCTGACAACATTCAACAAAATTCTTATCTCTTATAAAACTAGCATATTTTCTTGAATCTCATGCATTTGAAACTCCCAAGACTATTCAACTTATACAAATTAATTTATGATTAATTAAAATATTATGATTTGTAACTCTTGAAAGTCTTCCTATCACGCTATTTAATTGATGAGTTAAATGAAATACTTAGGAAATATTTACCCTATATAACAAAATAAAGCATCTAGTAGCACTTCTCTTTTTTGGGTAAAGATATCAATTACTACATAAATATTTCAAGCAAAATAAAGCTAGTTATGAATATCATTTTAATAGAAAAACAAAGATATCATGATTTGAACAAAAAAAACACCCATCTTTACATTCATCCCACAATACCCCAAATACGTTGTCGTTTATCTTTCTCTCCCCTCACTAGAAATGCAGTATCGATTATCACACATGAAAAGATACATTGAAAATTTTAAAAACAAAAAAAAAAAAATGTAAAAGTATGATGATGATGATGAAAGAAAAAAAAAAAATACAAAATAGACATTATGTAAAAATCAGTAAGTAGGATAATAGTACCCGGATCCATTTACAGGTGGATACCCATACGGTTGACCCGGAGCTCCATATCCACCATTATTGAGTTTAGTCAAACTACCTTGACCTTGCATTCCTTCTCTAGCATACTGTTGCCACACCACCTGTTCTTGAACAAGCAACTGTTGCTTTTTCTCCATATCCGCCATTTGAACATAAGAAGGTGGAGGAACAGTTAGAGACGCTGCAAACGGGTCACCCGCGATTGTCTGAACCGACCCGTCAGGTGCCGGAAGTGCCAACACCCGTGTGGCGGTCTTCCCCGGCAACGCCACACTACTAGCACTGCCGCCAGATAACCCGGCGGTGCTCACATGTTGTCTCACTATTCCTTGATCATACATTCCATTCAAAAGCAACGGGTCAAGCCCACCGCCCATTGCCGCCTTCTGTTTCTCAAGATTACTAGCGGTCTCCACCAACGCAAGCTCCCAGTCAGCTTTTCCAGGATCCGCCGCCGGATTCTGCCACGCAGACGTCACCTCCGCCTCGCCGGAGGACGACCCGAACGCTTCCCATTTCCCGGTGTTTCCTCCGGCGAATAAAGCTAATGCGAATTTGTTCCCTTGGTCGTCGGCGGTTAACGTGTCTTCTCGTAAATCGAGTAAATCTCCGGCGGGTTGTGGTGGTGGTGGCGGCGGTGGCGGTGGCTCAGCCACCGGAGGCGGTGGCGGTGTGTATGTTTCCGGTGCTGGTAATGCCTTGATTTCGTTCATGTTAATCGGTTCTTCTTTAACAACAATTTCGGGTTTCTTTTCGGGGCTTTTTGAAACATTTGCTCGATCTCTAACAAATTCTTCTAAAGTTTCTAGTAATTTTGCTGTTATTCTTTGAACTTCTGGATAATCTGAAGATCTTGCAATACCCATGTCTTTACACCAATTGTAAAACCCTACAAGTTCATCGATTTGTTTAGCTGCACTTACATAAGCATCGAATGATTTTACACAATCTTGATATTCCATATCAAAGAATCGATCGAGTAAAATAGCTAAAACTTCACATATATCTGCATAAAGTTGAAGCTTTCTTGGATAACAGGGTACAAAGCAGCCAATACCATTCTACTGTTTCTTGCAAGACCCGTGGGTCGACATGACAGGATCCGATCCAATAGCCTCTGTAAATGATCCATTTTTCCAAAGATTCTTTCGGGTTCCATTTCTCTTAATGGGGTTATGGATTTTTTATCCCCCTCTCGAACATCTCCTGAAGATCTTGACCTTCTCATGTTTCCACCATATCCAGGGGATTCGAAGTCATTGTAGCCACGTGATGGTGGGGAATTCCAGCGATCTTCTCTGAATTTGTCAGGTTCTTGGATGCCATTGTTGTTTTGTTTCCTTTCATAAGCAACTAAATCAAGCTTTTGATCGAGGTAAAAGCCGTAAGTTCTTACGAAAGTGGAGTGATCCCCATGAATTTGAATGAGCTTCATCGCGGAAATCTGCCATGTTAAGCAACCGTGTTCCTTTTCTGGTTGCGTACATGATTTCCTGTTGAAAAACCATGTCGCCATCGTTTAACAATCGGTGGATGAGAACTAAGCATTTGAGTGCTACGATCCAATCACGAGTCTTGCTTAATCGTTTTGATAGTGAGTGAACACAGGCACTGACATAGCCACGTGAGAAGGATGTGAGCTGTATGATCTCTCGGATGTATTTTTCACTAGCGGGATCATCGTCGTGACTGGTGGCTTTGACTATGGCTACCTCTAGCTCTGGAGCCATATTGCTAGCTACCTTGGCTATTCCAATACTCGTTTGATCTTTCACAGCTCCCATGGCCTTCCGAAACGCCATTGTTCTTCACTATTCTTCTGGTAAAACCCTAGAAAACCAAAAACGAATCGAGTGCATTAGAATTACCTACATACCTAAGAAGAGAAATCGCAAAGGTTTCATCGATTACAAAAGGTTAGATGAAAGTAATACTTAGTTTGATTCCATTGATATGATCGAATCTAGAAACAATTAAAATCGAAGAAATGGAAAATGATATTCGATAATCTAGATGCCATCGTTATTTGACATTTTTGCAGCTCCATAAATCATAAATACAGCTCGTTGAAGACACATAATTAATATAACAACTGATAATTTATCATCACGACATCAGGATCCATCATTAATTGATTTTCTAGTTCGGAATAACGGAAGTCAAATTCAAATTAACCATTCATCCACACTCACCTACACGGTTCCATGACAAATTACTAAATAAATCCACCGAAAACTTCAGATTTCATTTCCAATTGAGATATCGTTTTAACAAAATTGAAATCAGTTCGAATCGTACCTTTAAATATCTACAACAGATAAAAAGGAAAAATCGGTGGATGAGCAGATCCGTTGACTTTATAGACTATCCAGTCCACGTTTAGATCTGAAGTCGAAGAAGAAACTTATGGTGGCGCGTCTTCTCTTCGTCTAGCCGGAGATCTCTCTCTCTCTCTCTCTCTCTCTCTGAAATTTCTGTAGAGAGAGAAGAGGAATGGAATAAGAGGTGGGGTTGTTGAATATGGACCGTTGGATGAATGTGAACTGGAGAACAGAGGAAGCTTCTATGGTCTATGTATGAAGAATAAATGATATCAGCACATCGATTTATTTTCCTTCGTTATTTGTATCATGGAAAAACAAAACATTGTTTTCTCTTTAAATATATTTTATATCTATAAAATAATAAATAATCGTTCGAAATTATTAATAAAATTACATAGAATTGCAAAAAAAGGTTCATCTAACCGTAGATCTATGTTGCGGGAGGTATTTTTTTCGACTATGGATTGTTTATGTCGGTGACAGCAACATTGAAAGCGCTTGGTTAATAGATACGTGAGGATTGTATGAGTTTGCATGCTCTGAGTCGCCCGTGTCACCACTTAGATGGTCTTGTTAAATTTAATGACGAGGTTGATAACATGAGCGGACATATTGTTGGTATTCAAAAGTCGCCACCCAATGAACCGGATGCCGGCCCCAATGAAGGGCTGGTGTTGGATGCTTAGCTTCTTTATCATGTGTTTAAGCTACCTATCACTAGTGTTAAAAGCATCTATCATAACTGTCGTATGACTTTCTCTCAAACTTTGAAAGCTGCCATTTCCAAGGTGGTTGCGCATCTTGGGTTTGTTGAAGTGTGGGTTACATTGTTAATTCTTCCTAAGTGTATTCTTTAGTTGTTCAGGCTCAATAATAGACAAGAGGGTAGGTATGGGAACCTGAAGTCCTAGCAACATCGTAATATCCTAAGCGCATTAGCTACTTGGGGTACAATAGTGTAACACCTAGTTTTAGTGATGTTCTAATTTCGTGACATTGGGACATAATTTGATCAAGTGAAGGTTGTTAGCTTCAAAGGAATAGATTTTAGACCTTTTCGGATGTTGATAATGTTGGATTAAGTGATTAAAGCCCTCGATTTATGTCTTGAAGCAAAAGGGTAGAATTAGAAAGGTGATATCTCGGGCTTCTTGCATGAATTAAGGATTTTTCTTTGATATATTTTTAGTCAAAAGTAACTAGATATAATTGTAGGACTCGTCAATACTATTTTATGCATATAAAGAACGTCAAAAAACGGAATTGAAACGAAGAAGTTATGGTAGTTTGAAGTTGAATTGGAACTTGGGAATTTTTCCCTATGTTGTGCAAAGGTGCTGAAATATGGATGCGAGTTTAATGACCTACGGTGGGTATAGGTTATGTAGCACCTGGTTCCCGGTACGTACTCCTTGCTATTTACTTTCTTAAAAAAAATGTATTTTGCCTTGGACTCAGCGAGTTGATGGGCCAACTCACCGAGTAGGAGTGGGACAAGGTGCGGGAGTTAGACTTTAGACTCGGCGAGTCGGTCCCCGGACTCGGCGAGTAGGCCGTGGTTAGGCAAAAACCCTAATCCGGGTGTTTGCACCTTATTTAAACACTCTATCTTGGCCTCCTTTGTCCCTAACACTTCCAGAGAGCAGTAGAGCGAGACCCTAGCCCCCCATATTGTTCTTAAGAGTGTTTTTGGCCTTGTGAAGGAGGTTGGAGCTTAGAAGAAGAAAGAGGTGGTCGAAGAGTGCAAGGAAAGGAGTAGATCCGAACTCTACTCAGGGAGAAGTTTCCATTCAGGTAGAAAAGTCTCTACCTTGATCTTTATATCATTAGTTACCATTTTTGTCCCAAATTGGTGGTTTTCAATCCCTAAAACACCAAACGCCATGTGTGGTGCTTAATGATCCGAAAGGAATTCTGATCTGGACTTATTGGATGAATTAGTAGCATAAAGTTCATGTGGTTGAAGTGATTGAGGTCCCCATTGAGTCTATGACCTCTTGAAGAGTTTGGTTTTGGCCTTTTGAGCTTATAGGGCCATGCATGCACGTAAAGTTTGCAACTTTACGTGATAAGCATGCTCAAGGAACATGGATCTATGGTTTGGAAGCGTTGCAAGTTTCAGAATCGGTCAGTATGGGAAATAAGTCATAGGGACTCGACGAGTCCCAAGGAGGAACTCGGCGAGTCCCATGAAGATGGCCTTAGACTCGCTGAGTTGGATGAACAACTTGGTGAGTCCTATGAAGATTGCCTGGTACTCGGCGAGTTGTTCTTCAAACTCGGCGAGTCGGGTCACGAGTCGGTTCAATCTTCCCAAGTCATGAGTAAAGGGTGATTCAGTGAGTGGGAAGAAGGACTGGTTAAGTAGGACCGCGTTAGTAGGAAAAGGACCTGGCGAGTCCATGCCATGAATCGGCGAGTCCAGTCAAATGGACATTGACTTTGACCAAGGAGTTGACCTTGGGCCAAGGGAGGGTCAGTCTTTTGACCTAAGGGTATTTATGGGTGTCTAACCTATGTTTATGGTTTATAGCCGGAGGATTTGCGATCCAGCAGTCAGACGCTCAGCAAGCAGACTTCAGTAGCTACTTTCGAGTTAAGTTACCTTCCAATAGCGGTGGGTCTAAGGCCACAATGCGAGCCCACCAGCAGGAGACGTATGATAGATGATTGTCTTTGTGATATCATCTAGGCTTGCTACTACCTGATATGTTATATGCTAGCATGATATGTTGTATGTGATAGTAGTAAAGTTCGGTCGTTAGGACCGAAGGGTAGTCAGACACCCCAGATACATCTGACAGTATGTGATGATATGCTTGCATGTTGGCTTGTTATGTTATGTGCAATAGAGGTAGTAGGAGGGGACCAGTCCCCGAGTTCGGTTGATAGGACCGAAGGGTAGTTAAGGCACCCCAGATATGTCTGATAATATGTTATGTTATTATATATGTGATAGTGGCAGTAGGGGTGAAATAGTCCCCAAGGTTCGGTCGTTAGGACCGAAGGGTAGTCAGCACCCCAGAATTGCTTGACATGGGTAGTCAGCACCCCAGAATGGCTTGACACGGGTAGGTCGGCACCCCAGAATGGTCGTACTGGGTAGGTCGAGCACCCCAGAAATGCCTGGCAATATGTATGATATGTGATTGTATGGTATGTGGTATGATGGGGGAACTCACTAAGCTTCGTGCTTACAGTTTTCAGTTTTGGTTTCAGGTACCTCTTCTTCCAAGGGGAAAGAGCTGGTGCGGTAGCAGCACATCACACACACGCTTTGTATTCCGCACTATGAGATCTTCCTGGGGATTTGTACTCTGACTGTGTTATGTTTTTATAAATTGGTTTCCAAACACGCACATCTTTTATGAAATGATATGATCGATGAATGTTTTATTTCTAATGCTTCGCTAAGTATGTGTATTTAAAAATGAAATTTTTGGCTCGTATTTTTGGGATGTTACAGGTTATGATGCACTTGCGTAGCCATTGCAAACCAAAACCCTAACCCTTACGTTTTGAGCCATATTTAAATGCTCTAACTTCTTGGGATCATTCCCATTGCTAACCTCCATTACCTCATATCGTTCCTTTGAAACCCTAGCCAATATTTGTGAATTTTAGATCATTTAGAGGGTTTTTGTGTGCTCTTTGAAGGGAGAAGGTGTTTGTAGAACCAAGTGGGAAGCTTTAAGGTGTGTAGATCTTCGATTCGCAGGCCAACATCTATCTCTGAAAGGTATAAAACTTTCATCTTGATGCTTGTACATGTTAGATATAGTATGGTTGTAAGTTTTATGCATTTGTCTCTATAATCTTGGTCCTTATGAGTATGGGTTACTCCATACCATTTGAATTCCTCCTTATGATGTTTTTAAGGTTATAGAGTCATAAAAATGAGAGCTTGGGCACTCTCATCCATCCATGCATGAGTTCTCGAGCAAAAAGTGATAATATGGACTTAGAGATTAATTTTGTGCTCTTCTTGGCCATGCAAAAGAGTAAAGTGTCACACCCCGAAACCGATGGCGGAAACGTTCCGGGGCGGAGGACGTCATGTAAAGTATCACAACCAATGTACATAGTAAGCATAGTAAACACAAAACATTACATTACATGGAAATATTTACATTTGTTTGAAGGCAAAATTACACATGATTATATATATATATATATATATATATATATATATATATATATATATATATATATATATATACATCCAAAATGAACAAAAGCAAAGACGAGACTGCTAATATGCTCCATCTTCTACAAAAGATTTATGGGATACCTGTCTAATGTTGACCTGAGAATACAAACAGTTTTAAAAATATCAGCATAAAGCTGGTGAGTTCATAAACGGTTTGTTTCTGTAAAAGAACAAGTTTCCTTTGGTTTCCTGTAAA